CTGGAACTTTGGTACATGCTTGGGAGATGATGCCTGTGTGAGCAGCTCCCAGTAGCAGCCCTGGGCACTGAGTTTCTAATCAGCAGCATTTGCAGTGTTGCCTGCAGTCTGCATTAAGCTCAAGGCTGTGGTAAAGCTGTGGTAGACAATTCACGTGTTCTCACAACTCACTGGTGGAGACCTTGTGTGACCTATAGAGAGGACTCTTGGAAGCATGCACCTGTTCTCTGGACTTTGCCCTGGACACTTTTCCATTTACTGATTTTGCTTTCCATTATTTTCCTTTAACAAATCTTAGTCCTGAGGACGACTACACAGAGTTCTGTGAGTCCTTCTAGTCAATCGTTGAACTTGGGAAGTGGTCTTGGGGATCCTGGACACAAACCTCATCAACTGGTGAATAGATTTCTAAAATGTGGTATATCCATACCTTGGAATATTTTCAGCCAGAAAAAAGAATGGAGTACTGATATATGCTACAACAGGGATGAACCCTGAAAATGTTATACTGCAAAATAAGCCAATCACAAAAGGCCACATATTGCATGATTCCATTATACCAAATGTTCAGAATAGGGACAGAAAGCAGATTGGTAATTACCAGGGTTTGGGGGAGAAGGGAATGGGAGGTGACTGGTAATAGTTATGGGCTTTCTTTTTAGAGTGATGAAAATATTCCAAAATTGATTGTGGATATGGTTGCAAGACCCTGTGAATATGCTACAAACCATTGATCTGTATGCTCTAAATGGGCAAATTATATGATATGTGAATTATAACTCAGCAAAGCACTTTTTAAAAACAAGATCCTGACTCGAGTGGGCTGGGGGTGAGGCAGGACATAGTGGTATTTCCAAATCTCCTCATGACACTTGGCCTGTGTTCTGTGAGGCCTTACAAAGAAACAAACAATTGCCCTCCAAGATTACATGGGCAAATATGTCAAGAAAACACGTTTATTTCATACAAAGGGAGAAATTCTGAACTGAAGGTGTATTTAAAAACAAACAACATGAAAGAGAATTGATGAAATACACAAATTACTTAGTAGAAGTGGTTCAAACACCTTGAAATCATTATGCTAAGTGAAAGGAGACAGTCACAAAAGAGAATATATTGTATGATTTATTTAGACAAAATGTCCGCAATAGGCAGAGCTATAGAGGCAGAAAGTAGATTAGTGGTTGCCAAGGGTTGGAGATGGCTGAGGCTATGGTTTGGGGGGATTGGGGAGTGACACCCAGTTGGTACAGGGTTTCTTTTTGCAGTGATAAAAATGTTCGAAAATTGACTGCAGTAATGGTTGTACAACACTTTGAATATACTAAAACCATTGAATTGTGTACTTCAAATGGGTGAATTGTATGGTATGTGAGCTAGGGCTCAATCCATTTGTTTAAAGTTGTAGTTCAAAGTGAACTTAACCATCTGAGCAGACATTCCTAAAGTGATCTAAGTCCCCAGGTCTCTCTGGTGGGATCCCATGAATATTTAGTACCTGCAAATCTCCCAAATTCATAAGCTTCAATGATAGGATACCACAAGATTATACAGCAAAGAACTTCCCAAAAAAGAAAGGCCACACTTTATCCACCTGAGAACCCAGGGAGCACACGATGGCCCAGGCATGGGCTCTCAGCTGGGACTGCATGGGGCCCTAAGTGGAGGGTCTATAGGGAGACTTCACGGGGGCCTTGGACTCCCAGATCCTAGGCGATCTGCGTGTGGGTGGAGAGAGTGTCTACACCTTGTACCAGCTTCCCAAAGGAGCCCATCGCCCAAAAGGCACTGGGAGCCATGAGGTACATTTGTGGAGTCCTCTTCTCTAGCATGGCGCTTGCCAAGCGGTGCAGTGCAGCCTGGCGTCCAGGACCCTCGCTTCCTCAACCACATGGCCTGTGCTACAGTAACTTAGACCTGAGAGCGAGTCTGGTGGGAAAGATGGAACTTGAAGCAGGACACTCAGGTTTCCTCTCAAGCCCAGCTCATCAGTGTGTGTCTTGGGGAAAGCACTCAAAACATTTGTGGCTGTCCTGTCCACTATAGAAGAATCACAACAACCTCCTTGAAGAATTCCATTTAGTATAGATTCCATGTCCCTCCCTCCTCCCTTCTCCACCCTCTCCACACCCTCACCTCCCTCCCACCTCCCATGTCTATGTATGTGTATATATGAATGTGCATGTTTGTATATAGGTATGCATGTGTACATATGAGCATATGCACAAACATGTATATTTTAATGTACGTATTTAGGTATGTTAGTGTATATGTGAGTAGATGTGTATTTAGGTGTGTATGTTTATGTATGTATGTGTATACAAGGGGAGACCCAAAAACTGAAATTATCTTTTGGAGGACAGGCCCCTTGATAATACACTTGGAATTTGTTCCTCCAGATCAAACAGTCAACCAAAGGTTTTATCTGGAAGTTTTGAGAAGGTTGGGTTATGATTTGTGGAAGAAACATCCCAAGTTGTGGCAAACAGGTGACTGGCTCTTTCATCATGACAACGCACCTGCCCACACCGTGCTGAGTGTTCAGCAGTTTTGAACCCGAAACAGTATGACTCCCGTGCCTCACCCTCCCTGTTCACCTGATCTCGCTCTGAGTGCTTTTTTTCTGTTTTCCTGAATGAAAAAAGTCCTCAAAGGGAAATGTTTTGCCAATGTGGAAAAGGTGAAATGAAAAACGGCAGAAACACAAAAACGCATTAAAATCGATGAGCTCAAAAACTGTTTTGGGCAGTGGAAAAAGCATTTCAATAGGTGTATTGCATCAAATGGAAAGTATTTTGAAGGTGACTGAAGTGTAAACATGTAAGAATAAATACACAATTTTTTTATAAGTAAATTCGGGGTTTCTTGGGTCCTCCCTCGTGTGTGTGCATATGTGTGTGTGCATATGTTTTTGTGCATATTTGTGCATGAAAGTCTGTGTATGCCTAGCTCAGTGCCTGGCTACATTTAATAATCCTCCACAAACATCTGCTGAGTTTTAATCTCAAAACACCCCACACATGTGAGAGGAGAAACAGACCAAATACATCTCATTAAACCATTTTGAAAATGCTTTTATAAACTAATAATTCAGAATTCGCGAATCCAATTCTGCCTGCTGCGCTAGGACATGCCATTGCTGTCCATCATCTGTGGATGCCCTCCCCCCGCTGGGCTGAAAGAGACGGAGGGGGAGGAGTGGAGTTAAGCTGAGCTCTGAAGACACGGCTTCAATACCTGCCTGCCTCTGAACTATAAGGAGAAGGGAGCCACCGCACAGGGCTGGTGTGATATTCACACTGGGCCTGGCCCTTAGTGACTGCTCAGCACTGCGACCTGTTCACACCTCAGCATGCAGAGCCAAAATTCACTAGCCATCACCACCCTGCACATGCCTGGATTCTCCAGGGAGTGGTGGGGCCAGGGGACAGATCCGATCCGAGGCAGGTCCCAGGAGATGCAACAGGCCTGCCCAAGGGCTGTCCTGCTCCTCCTGAGGTGCTGCTTTTTTGCATGCAGCCAGAACAAGATGACTGTTTCCTTATCACAAGGCAGGTCAGTTTGTGCAGACTTCCACTTGACAGCCCCTCAATTTCAGACAAATGCACCTTTCCAAACATCTGCATTGCTGTCTGCTGTTTTTGCCAAGCCCAAGGCTATGGCGCTGACAGCGAGCCCAGCGTCCTCTGTAAACAGAACATGCGAAGCAAAGCAGAGCCTGGCCTCTTGCACCCACCTGCTGGCCCTTCTCACCGGGAGTTCATGCACAACCCACAGTTGAAAAGAAGCCCTTTTATTGAGCCCCGGGGCTCTATAAAGCCTGAATCAGGTTAAAATGAAGGTGAGACTTATTTTAGAGTAAATATTGATTTAGAGTGTGAATGCCAGGAGGCGGGGCACGCCTCCCTCTCCAGGTTAGGCATATCCAAAACAAAAAAGTTCAGGACTGGCGGGGCAACTGTTCTAATTGCTGCTTCAGCCATCTTCACTTATGAATGTAAGACACTGAGACAGTGCACTTGGGGGAGAGGGTCCTTCCCCAGGGGATGTGCTGAGGCCCCTCAGAGTCAGCCACAGCTGCGCCCCTGGTTAGAGTCCCCTTGGGTGGCAGCAAGGCCTCATACATGAGGCACACTCCACTTCAGAGTGGAGACCCTTGAACCCCAGGGGCATGGCTGGAGGCTGACACTCCCTCGGGCACACGATCTCCCTGGTCCAGTGAGGAGAGGGACATCTCCCAGGTGTGAGCTCATCCTGACTCTGTAAGTGACCCAGAACTGCTGTGTGTGAATCCTCTTCTTCAGCATAAGGAAGCAAGAATGGGAAGCTCCTTGGGTAGGAAGGAGAGGCTGGTGGGCAGGAAGCAAGTGTCCAGGGGCAAGAAGGAAGCTCCTGCCTGGTGGGGGGCGTCTCGTTTTCCAACAGTCTTGCAGCCTGAGGCTCCCTATCACTCTCACTGGGGTCTAGAGACCACCAGGTTTTATGGCAATCTCTGTGTGTATCTCTGACAGTCAGATAGAGAGAGGAGGAGCTTTCAGAATAGAAGCCCATCTTAGACTTAGGGCTCACTGATTTTCGCTGAGCCCTGCTGGCCTCATCTGCAAGAGATGGTCTAGTTCCAGTTACTTCCAGGACTCAATGAGATAAAGCTCGTGACAGTGTCCAGCCAGCCATGCCTCCCAGGTGTGCAGTGCACACCTGTACTCTGCCCTGTGGTGTGCTTCTCGTGGAGGGTACCGGCCTTGTCTATCTCCTACTGCAGCCCTGGGGTTTAAGAACCAGAGTCTGCTCCTCCATGAATAAGGTTTGGAGCATCTGTCCTGCTTGGGGCATGTGTGAGTCTGGGGGGGGGGGGTGCCCAAAGCAGGTTGTGGGTCTGACTTGGGCTCCTCTACTTTTCTCATCTTCGAGGTGGAATCATTTGTCATTGGCTCTGCCGGCCTCATGGGGCTGCTGTGAGACTTGACCAGGACAAGGCAGCTTGAGGACACAGAGGCCCACTACAAGTAGGGAATGGTGGTCGCTGTCCAGAAGTGAGCGCAGGCACTGACCTCAGATTCCGATGCATCCGCTGACTTCTCCTTGAGGTTCACACTCTCGGTCAGCACAGCGCCGTTGTACATGTTACAGATGTCCTCGTCTGAGTAGTGCAGACCACCAGGGCTTGGTCGGGGTGGGGACCTGGGATGAGAACCAATGTCTCAAGTTACCCTCTGGGCAAAAGATGCCCTCTCCTGAAGACCTCCTAACCTGCCTTTCAGCCTTTATCCTGTTGGAATAAGAGGAAACCCACAGCCTTTGACATCACTTTGGCAACTGATGCAGCCAATCACGAGCACTGGCTATCTGGTCCTCCTAAGGCCTCTACTTGCCCAGCACCTGCCCATCTCAGGGGCTGTGCTAGGCCTGGTGACCCTGGGGGAGTGAGCCAGTCTGGGCCTGGAGGGACCAGGGAGACACTCAAGTACAAAGAGCACTGTGAGGTCAGACTACTAGGCTTGGGTGCTGGGAGCTCACTGGGTGGGCGAGGGAGGGGAGTACAGCGGACACAGATGAGGACAAGGTCATGGCTGACCTGCCAAGCCAAGGAGTGTGAGTTGCATCTACTGATGAGAGGGCATCACGGCAGTTTGCACCAGGCCTGGTCTCCGGCTCTGGTGTGGTCCAGAATGGGGACTGGGGCCAGGTGGGATGAGGAGGTTGCTAGAGCATTAACCCTTTGTGTAAGCAGAATCTACCCCCACCCACTGTATCTTCCCCTCCTTTGAGAGAAGGTGAGGCCTGTGATGTTCTCCTAACCAGTGAAATATGGTGAACAGGGGGGTGTCATTGGCTTGATCAGGTTATGTTATATGGAAAGGCTGAGGGACTGCTACTCCCATCACTTCCATGATCACATGATGTTACATGAGACCCCAACTAGGCTGACTGGAGACAAAGATGCTCCTGCCAGCCTTGCAGAAGCAAACAGTATGCTGTGAAAAGTCCCTGGAGATAAGCCCATGGAGGGTCCCTTGAGGGGCCTCCAGGACCAGAGGGTGGGCTCCAGCTGAGAGCCAGGAATAATCTAGGGCCCTTGGTCATGAGCCCACAATTAAGTGCATTCTGTCAGCAACCCCAGTTAGCTTGGATGAGGATCCTTGCCCAGTTGTGCCTCCAGATGAGAACATACCCTGACTCTACCCAGATTACAGCCCATTGAGACCCTGAGCAGAGGATCCAGTTAAGCCATGCCCAGACTCCAACCTACAGAGACTGTGAGGTGATAAGTGTGCATTGGTTTAAGCTACTAAGTTTGTGGTCGTTTGTCATGCAGCGATAGAAAACAAATGCACTCTTCAGTCCCCAACTTTCTGGTGAGTATCATCTTGTAGCTGAATAAAGCCCAGCTTCTAGTTTTCAGATGAAGAAATTACAACTTGGAAAGAAATTCTGAGCACAAAATACTTGAGTTTTGAATCAGGCAGGATTGAGCGCTTCTCATTTCCCTGAAGGACGTGCAGGGATCCGTTATTGAGAGCAGCCTGTGGTCAGTCAGACGGGCAGTTGGCACTGCCTGTGCCCACCAAGGGACCACGGCCAGGACCTCCAGCAGCTCCAGACAACCCCTCCCTCATGCTATGAGGCGTGAGCTCAGAGCCTAGCAGTGGTTGCAGTGGAGGTCTTTCATTCCCCAGTGGGAAGTGGGAAAAGCAACCCTTGGTGATCAAGCAAGGAGAAGCTGCTGGCAGAGAAAGCAGGCATTGGACAGAGCCTGCACTGGGAAGACTGGTGGTGTGAAGAAGACTTCTGGTTTTGGGCAGCAGGTATTGCCTCCCTCAGGGTCGGCTATGTCTTGGTTTCTTCAGGAAAGGCCAAATAAAGATCCAAGTCCCCACCCCCCCGCACTACCTCAAAGAGGATTTATTTTGGGAAATATTACATTTCTTATCTAACCATTTGGGCAAATATTTTTATCTGGGGAGCTAAAATGGTGCTGTCACCAAAAAGGAATTGGAACCACGACATGTGCACTAGAGAGACATAAATCAATCATCTTTTTTTTTTTTTTTTTTTTTAGTTGGAGTCTCACTCTGTCATTCACAGCTACCCCAGCATTGACCTGCTGGGCTCAGGAGATCCTTCCGCCTCAGCCTTCCAAGTAGCTGGAACTACAGGCACACACTACCACGCCCAGCTAATTTTTTGATTTATTGGAGAGATGAGGTCTCGCCAAGTTGCCCAGGCTGTTCTTGAACCCATGGGCTTAGACAATCCTCCCACCATGGCCTCCCAAAGAGCTAGGATTACAGACTTGAGCCACCATGATCAGCCATAACCATATTCTTCTTTTAAAGGTATTTTAGGAATAATGCTAGAGGACCAAATCCCATATGGCCCTGGCCAGACCAAGGCTTAGCCCTCCTTGGAGCTCCTAACAAACTGACCCCTCTCTCCCAGCAGAGAATCCTTTCCTTCAGTTGCACTGAGGTCCCGTTGCTAGGACTAAAGAGGTGAAGGTTCATTTTAAAACCCAAGGAAAGGGTCAGTTTTCATTTCTGTCTTGATTTTACTTCGCCCTTGGTTCTCAGCAGGTTCAGGATGGTTTGCACCTGACCTCTTGGGAAGTTCAGGTCCTTGACTGAAACCAGGTGATACGGATGGACAAACCAAACCAAAAGAGCCCCTTCCATGGGGAATGCAGTTGGCAGAGCAGCACAGCTGAGGGCTTCCAGAAGTCACGGCCTGCACTCCCGTCGGCTGGCTAAGTGACAAGGGAGCAGTCAGCTCTGAATATAGGAATACAAATTTTGAGATGTGACCATAGAGCTTTAGGGATGGATACATATAAATGCGTGGGGGGAAGATCTCAGGGTGCCCCACCTTTCCAGATCCAGCAGCCCCCTGGGCTCACCCAGAACGATCAGTTCATGAGACAGGCTCAGGGGACCCCAGATGGAAGGAGCCACCAGGCTCGTGTCCTAGGTCCTCTGCCCTGCCCTGCTCATGCCCCCTCCACAGCCATCCTTAGGCGGTTCAAACACTGTCTGGCCTGGGGAAGGCTCTTGGTCCTTCCACTACCTAAGAGCTCTTCTTTAGAAAGGTCGTTCTCCTGGAAATAACAGATACTGGGAACACCAAAGAGGAGAAGGTGGGGGGGCGGGGCAAGAGTTCAAAAATTACTTTTCAGGTGAAATGTTCACTATTCGGGGAAGGAAGACACCAGAAGCCCGATTCCCACCAGTATACAGTGTGCACATGCAACAAACATGCACTTGTACCCCTTGAATCTAAAACTTAAGTTAAATAAATAAATAAAGGGCTTTCTTAGACTGCGCCAACCCCACTTGTCTGCGGAACCCGGTAAGACCATTGATTGCAACACCATATGCTGGAGCCACACCCGGACTCTGGTTTTGCCAATAGAAGCGCCTGTCTTGGGACTCCGTCTGAGAAATCTGTGTGCTGAGCCCTTCAACTCCACCACAAAATGAGGTTTCTTTTTTCTAGGAAGCAGGTGAACTCAACAAACGAAACTATTATCCGTTCTTGGGCAACGTGCTTTGAGGTTGCAAGTGTCTCTGCTCAGAACTCAGAAGAGACATTTGCAGCAAGGGAGCAGAGCATGTAATATTTTACAATTCTCTTGGTCTGGTAACTGTTACACAACAGGGAAAACCTGCCTCTCAGTAGACAAATGAAATGAGAGATGTGACCAGATGTCACCACTGGCTTCCACTTCTTGCCCTCAGGAGAGTCACGTGGGGGTGCTCTGCTCTGCTTTGGGCTGGCCTCCTGTGCTGCTGACAGAGGGTCTACTGCAGGGAGGAGACCCACCTGGGCCTCAGCACCATCCAAATGATCTGAGATCCCGAAGCTCAGCTAAGAGGCAGGAGAGGCGTAGGTACTCTCTGGGCATTGCAGGCTGCACCTTTTATAGACAATGAAGGGAACTGGAAACCTTGTGGTCTGCCTGCATCTGGATGGTGTGCAATTTCCACAAACATGCAACTAAAAGTAAACCCAAGGCAGGTCTGGACAAGGGAGAAGAGGCCCTCCTAATTCTGGGGGACCCCGGGAAGACCCCTGAGCTGCCTATTCTCCAGGTGAAGCATCCTCAGGCGTTTAGGTGTTTTTCTTCCAGACTCTCAGGACCCCTCGCCAACCCGAGTCCTTCTCGCCAGTCAAGGGTTCCCAGACCAGAGGAAGGTGTACTACAAATCAGAAGGCAAACAAAGGTTATCCCCTCTCTTCTTTGGGAAGCCTTGCTTTCTGCTGGAGTTGGGAAAAGGGCTACAAGGTATGAGGCGATGGTGGTGAAATCATTCCTGTGTGTACTCACATGCACATGTGAAGTGGCAATCTATATCATCACAGGATAACCTTGGAACACACCAAACGATGAAAACTGCAACCACCACCCATCCATGCAAGGACACTGGATCAAGCTTGTAGCAGCCCTGGGTGACACCTCTGTGAACTAGGAACTCCTCATTCCAAGGTGCCCAGCAGTTGACACAGAAGTGTCCTGGTCACTTCCATATATTGGAGGTCCCACCTTCTTTCTATATCTCCAGAAATGTACTGAAAATAGCTCCAACCCCTCTGCCAGTCCTGTCCCTCCTAGACTCTGTGCTGCCCTTGGTGGGCCGGGAGTCAGTCCCAGTGGTGGGTGATGTTGGCTTTCAGGAACCACACGGTAGGCATAAAAGGTAGCAGTGGGCATGGGCTTGTTGCTGGCCGCACCCGCCCCGGACACTCAGGTCCTCGGGTGGACACAGCACACAGCACTGCCTCCCTACCTGGTCCCATTCTTCTTCAAGAAGGTGCTCTTGACATTGAGGTGGCGGCTGTTGAGCTCCAAGGCAGCAAATCCTCCATTATCCAGGGTCACAGACTCCTCCATATTGGAAATGCTCTTACCTGAAGCCCAAACCAGGAAAACGAACACAGACGTGTTGTTAGTGATGCCCAGCCAGAGCTGGCCAATGACAGGAGGTCCTGCTGTGTGGAGAACCTGGGGTCATGCAGGACCGGCTTCAGCTCCCAGGGCAGTCAGAGCCGAGCTGGGGAGCAAAGCTAAGTATGGATCACAGTACTGGAGCAAGGTGACAATATTAGCATTTTGGTGTTTGTGTTGCTGACGTCAAAATGCCAGTATTCTTGCCAGTGTTTTGTGAACATGTACTCAGAATGCACAAACTTTTTAAAAGTTGGGGAAAATAAATAATTGATACATTTCAAAATAAAACATTCAAAATCTTATAACCAAACAGGAAGTAAAAAATAAATTTACGGGGACATGATAGCTAAAGGAAGGCCACGGGGTTTCCTTCTGAGGTGCTAAGAATGTTCTAGAATTGATGGTGGTAAAGGTGCACATATCTGTGCATTAACCATTGAATTGTATGCTTAAAAAAAGTAAATTTACAAATGCATATCAAAACAAGTTCTCATATACATTAGCAGATCACATGAATAAAAATAAAGTTATGAGAAATCAAACAACACTTACAAATTCCCAATGGCTTCCCAGCTCATTTGGTGGGAAAGCCCAAGTCCTCAGTTGACTGGGCTTGGCCTGGTCCCTGTCCCCGTCCAGTGTCATCCTGCATCCCTCAGCCCTCCCCCCGCACTGGCTCACCCAGAAGGCTTTCCTGCTTGCTGCTCCCTCTGACTGGAAGCCCCTTCCCCAGTATTCTCCAGGCATCTCTCCTCTTCCTCAGCTCACAGCTCCAGTGCCCTGAGACCAGAGGCCTTCTTCCCGCCACCCAGGGCGCCTTCACCCCCCACCCCGCTTCCTCACGCCCAGCCCCCGTCTTGGTCTTCTTGTCTGCAGTACTGCTCCCCATGGTGCTCCCTGCCCGCCACTTGGAAACACATCTGCTTGCTTCTTGGAGCTGGTCTTCCATTTGTCTCCCTCTCCTGGACTTCATGCTCTTCAAGGTGTGAACTTCATCTGCCCTGCTCCCCATCCCACCAACCTCCAGGAAGGTGCCCACGCACATACCACAGGCTTGACAGGTATTTGCTAAGGGTGTTGACATTTCTAAACCCCAAGGGGTTCCTCTCTGTTGGGTCCTAGCACCCCCTCTCCATGCCTCAATGCTCCATTGTGGGTGACAGAAGAACAGATAGAGCAGATGAAAGATGGGCTTGCCTGTGACGGGGATTTGGGTTGATGGGGGATGAGCAGGTGAAACCAGTATCAGAGAGGATGCAGATGTGGGTGGGAGGATCAGGGAGTGCACGCAGGATGGGTGTTGAAGATGCTGTAATAGCAAAGGTGTAAGTGCAGCATGTCTCCTGGGCAGGAAGGGAGACATTCTGGTAGACAAGGATTATTTTTTCTAGGCTTCAATTATGATGTTAAATTAATACTCCAGGGCGAGGCTGAGTATCAGAAGCTGCAGGTCAGATCTGTCTTTTCAAGTCTGTTTTCCAGATGGAGAGCGAGAGTGAAAGCGGGGAGATTTTCATGCGCCAGACACAGGATTCTGTAATAGCATTAACTCAGTAAAATGACATGCCATTCATACATTGTAAATCCCACGGGAATAAAATCTGATTTACGAACACTTGTTAGAAGTGAATTTATACAGAAAAAAATAAATCCTTTCTTTGAGGGATGAATTGCTTAACGTTACAGAGGCAAATGGCAGGCATGTGAGGTGCCTGTTTTATTAACTCCTTCAGCACCAAGGTGGTAAGGCTGATGGCCAGTCAGGAATCCACTCCACCCAGCTCCTGGCCCCAAGGCCTAGTGTAGACCACTCATCAGGGATCTGCTTTTCTAAAAGGGGAGACAGGCAAGCTGAAAAGAAAGGCTCCAATGAGGGGGCTGGGCTCAGGGAGAGGGCTGGTCCGGCCGGTGTGGGTGTTGCGTGGGATAAAAACAGTCTGCAGTCTAGAGCTCAGTTCTATTCTGGTAATACAGAGAAGTGGCCTCACTGGCACTTGTGAGAACTTTTTAAAAAGAAAGGATAATAAAGTGCACAAAGGGCACTAATCCCAAGCAGCTGGGCTGATGTTTTTGCTTTACAAGTGTAACCACTGTCTGTCTGGAGGGAAAGAGCTTTCTCAGCTTCCTTAAGGCCCCTCACGCTCCCTCCTGTTTGTGTCTCTCCACCAAGAGGCAGGCACAGCACTTCCACTCATCGTGGTTGCTCCCGAATGGCATATAAACAGTCACGCGTTCATGTGCTGGCCTTTCCACAGTCATTTGTTCCTTTCCCTAATGATGGTGACTCATTCAGCAATAGACATTGACTGCTGCGACACCTACTCCATGCCTGGAAACGCAAGAGTGCACAGGCCGTCAGGGGACTCAGAGCTGGATCATGGACCTCAGGCAAGGTACAAAGTCAAGTGCTTGAGAAGGGCTGTGCCATGGAGATGTCCCTGGGATATTCTGCGAGCAAAATGTCTACGATGTGCCTGCTCACTGTTTTCATGATACTGAATAGTACAGTATTCTATCTGCTTAACGCTTTCTACTTTCCGTGTTAAAAAATACAGCCATTGGCTGGGTACAGTGGCTCACAATCACAGCATTTTGGGAGGCTGAGGTGGGAGGATAGCTTGGAGTTTAAGACCAGCCTAGGTAACACAGTGAGACATCATCTCTAAAAAAAATTAGAAATTAGACCGCCTCAGTACTAGCTACTTGGGAGGCTGAGGCAGGGGGATCACTTGGGCCTAGGAGGTTGAGGGTACAGTGCGCTATGATTGCACCACTGCACTCCAACCTGGGTGACAGAGTGAGACCCTGTCTCTTAACACAGACACACACACACACACATACACACACAGGCCTGCATTTGAGCAAAAGTACAAAGGTATAGAGGAGGAAGCTAAGGCTCAGAAAAGCCAGCTGACTCAAACGCATTATCCAAGACAAGCGGCTAATCTGAGGTTAGTCGGGGCCAGCATCTGGGTCCCCAAGGTCTAGACCTCTTGCTCTATACCTTCCTGCCCTGGAAAGAAAATCGGTTGCATCTGTCAGTATCACCTAGAGGAATGGAAAGGGGATGCTGGCACAGCAGATTCAGGAAAGAAAAACATTGTCAGCTCAAGGGTGTTGGGGCATTTGGGAGATGAGGGAGTGAAGGCAGACATCACACCTGTGCTGCAGTTCTTGTATTTCTTATTCTGTCCGTGCAGGACCAGGGCAAACACCACCAGCAGGATGACGATCAGGCTGGACAGAGCCATCACCAGGAGGAACCACCACTCCTCGTAGAACGGGGCTTCCACTTGAGCTGCGGAAGAGATGCAGATGCACAGTGACGCGTGACAGGCGCTTCAGACATAGTCATCTCCTAGGAGCAAGGCAGGAAGGAAGGAAGGGCGAAGGATGCGACGGATAGCCCTGGGCTACAGGTGAGAGGAAGCCGCCGTCCAGCCAGGCTGTTGGCGCTTCTCCGGTGGGGCCAGGTGCAGGCCCCTGGGTCCTCGGCGGGCTCAGCAGCAATTCTATGGAATCAGGCTCAGGCCCCTCTGTCCCCGGGGACTCCTCCGCCTTAGCGACTTCTCTATCCTTGCGCTTGCCCCGACCTTGCCCTTCAAAATTACCCTTTGTGCTTACCTTCTCCTAATTCTGAGATAGGCAGCCTGCAGGCCTAGTTTCTAAAATGAAAGTCACAAACCAGCTATATGCTAATTATAATGCATTAGCATACTAGAAGACACTCCTGAACAGTGCCGGCAGTTTACAATTACCATGGCATCTCCTGGAAGTTCCCCTACAGAGTTTAAAAGGGGGAGGAACCCTTGATTCTTGGACCTCCCCACCCATTTCCTGGAAAACTCATGAATAATCTACCGCTTACTTAGCATATAATTAAGAGACAGCTATAAAAATAAAGCCCCAACAATATATGGTTGTTGTTCTTCCTATAGACCAGCCCAGGCTGCTCTGCCTGTAGAGTGACTTGTTCTCCGTCCTTTCAATAAACTTACTTTTATTTTTCAGCCGAAGTCCAGTGATGCCCGAGGGCTGCTCTGCCTATGGATCCATTTCTTTAATACACTAACTTTTTGCCTCCTACTTATGGATCGCGCTTGAATTCCTTCCCACATGAAGCCAAGAACCCACTTGGCCTCTCAGGCCTCAGAACTCAGTGCTGGGGTTCTCTTGCATCATCTTTCTCGGTGACTCTGGCAGTTGGGGTCCCCCTAGCTTGTGTCAATTTCATCAGCCTAAAAACACTGTTTGGGTTAAAGTGCCTGGATTTCCTTCTCTCTCCCAGTGCTGGGACTTCCCCCCCAGACAGCTCTGGGTCCCCTCCTTCCCCATCACCCTCCGTTGCCTGTGTCACCGCACCCAACCCACCTGTTGGGGATCTTCCTGTCTTGCTCAGATCCACCCTCTATGCGGCCACCAGGGAGAGCATTCTGAGATGGAAACAAGTCCTCCCTGCCTAATCCTTCAGTGACTCCCTGTCGTCTTTGGGGTAAAGTCTGGTCCCACAAAACCCCCAGTGCCACCACCCCCAGCTGTGTAGAAGCCTCTTGCCCAAGGACTCAGTGGGTGCGTTTGTCTGTCTAACCCATTGGCCTCCTCCAAGGACCATGAGCCCCTGAAGGCTGGGGGCTGTTTTATTGACCTTGTGCCTCCGGCAAAACTGAGCTCAACTGAGCCCCATCCTTAGGTATGTTTTTGAGAAACAAATAGAAAAGGTTTCATTTAAAGGAACCTCTTCTTCCTTATGTTTTATTCTGTGCACTAAGAAGAGAAAAACAGGAAAGTATTTCTCAATGGGTGTGGGTGGTCCTGGGGTCCCACCTGAGGGCTCCCACATGCTTCTGTAGGGAGCGGGCTTGTGGCATCAGAAGCCAGAACACAAAGCTCTCATGGACAGTGCGCGAGGCCTGCCTCCCAGCTGCCACACCCCACAGAAAACACAGCCACCTTGCGTTAAATATCTCATGGACGAATGAAGGATGTGTGCACACTGGGAATAAAGGGGGAAATTGGCTTTGGATAATGCAACTCCACAGGGTTTCGTAGATGACAGTATTTTAAATCCAAAAGATATTAAGTGGGTTTTCAGGCTGCACATTTAGTACTCCACATAACAAGTCTGCTAAACCCCTAACCGACCACCCAGGAGTGGCCTGGAGTGGGCCTGGCTCTGGTGCCTGGCAGGAGAGAAAGGCCCAGCTGTTCTTCAGGGTCTTGACAGGGGCAGGACCCCCAGGCTGTGTGGCCCGGGGCCTGATGCCGTGTCCACAGGGGACAAGCCGCTGGCTTCTCGGAAGGATGGAACTAGCGGACTGCAGTCCAGCCCTGGATGCAAAGGAATTTCACAGAGGCAACATGCCATGTCCCCGTGAAGAGGCGGGTGAGAGTGTTCTACGCGAGGGGCCAGGCTCTGCCATCTGCTGCGTGTGGGGAGTTGCTTTACATCAGTTTCTCGTGGATCAAACACAGGAGGCTAATCTTGAATCTGAACTGGGATGAGGAGAGCTGTGGGTTCCTTATTCTCTTCTCTCTGCTTTGGGGTGTGCTTCACATTTTCATAAGAAAAATTAAAGAAATGAGAAAAGTTCTAAACCTCCTCATTAAAAAACCGGTGGTTCTTTGGGTCCCTTCCTCGCAGCCCCATTACTGAGCAACCCTGGAATTCAAGTGTGCTCCCAGACCAGGGCAGGTTTACCCATGGACCCTTCAAACTTCTGGCAAGGAAAGGACCATAGCCGTTTCCAGTGTCGACAAGCGCAGCCAGTGGCCCTAGCAGGTCTAAATGGAGGGGGGAGCGGAGACGTGTCCCCTCGACTTGAGGAAGAGGGGCAGTGAAGTTGCCCGGCTCAGCCTCTCGTGGCATCTGGACCCAGCCCTCTCTGCCCTGCCCTGCACGCTGCCGCAGGGCCCTCTTCTCCAACACAGCCCACCCCACTTAACTCCAACCCCCTGGCTCACAGCTCCTCTGCATATTAGAATCCCTGCGAAGTTAAGAAAGGAAGGCCCAGAGCCACTGAAATCCTGGTCTGGGGCGAGGGCCCGGCGAGGGTGTTTTTAACACTCCCAAGTGGATCCCAAGGAGCAGCCAGAGTCGAGACCCACGACTCACAGGCACTCAGGAGGTGGGAGGCACCCAGGACGGGTGACCAGCCTAGCTGCCCCTCCGCCAGCTGCTCCACCTACCCCGGGCCCTTGGGTGACCAGAACTTTGTTTCTTCTACTCTCTGCCTCCTGCCTGTTTCCTGTCCCCTGTGGTCATGCCCTGTGCACCTTCTGATTCCTGGCGAGGTCACTCACCCTCTTCCACCCTGTTCATACCCCTTGCCACATCTCCGGTAACCACAGATATGTCTGTCACCTCGCCAACATGCACTCCAGGAGAGGAAACCTCTCCTTGGGCTCTCTGCCACGCCACCCAGAGCAGACCCAGGGCCAGCCACCAGAGCCTGTCCAACTCCCACAAGGAGCACGCAAAGAAAGGCTCGGCCTGACAGATGGTGGCGGCTCCACGGCCTCCATCCACAGGGACTGTGACAGGCACCCGCCCACCCCGCACCTGAGCAGCTGCAGTCCCTGGACTCCCCACCTCTCTGGGAGGCCCCAGTAAGACAGGAGCTCTCCAAGTACTAGCGGGTTCCCCTGTGGCTGCTTGGGCCGGGTTTGCCCTTTCAGAATCACCTGCTGCCCCCTGTGAAGGGCGTGTTCCCTAAAACAAGGGCTCTGCTCTGCTTGGGAACATACCTTCACCCCCACGGGGACACGGCTTAGCTCACTCTGACCACCCTGACTCCTACATATGTTTCTGATTGTAAAATACATACAAGAAAACAAAGTAAGAATTGCTGGAGCACAGCGTGGATGTGGAGCCTATAAAGGGTCTTGCTGTGGTGACAGCGGCAGCTCGGGGCCCTGGGCTCCTGCCGGAAGAGAGCCAGCCCACAAGGCTGCCAGGTGGGGGCTGCCCAGAAGTGCCGGTGGTGCCAGGGAATGCCCAGGGACCCACACCACCCTCCCATGGCTCCTCTCCAGCCGACCCTGCGACTATGTTGGAGACACCAAAGAAGGGGCGTATCCCTTTCTTTCTACCCGCAGCTCCCTTTCACCCTTCCTTCCTTTGGGAGAAAAAGACTTTTCCCCAGACTTCCCGAAGCCTTACTTGATACTGCTGTGGAGGGGCTGCTGGGCTCCCCGTAGCCTGCCTCATTTACAGCCACCACGCGGAACTCGTAAGTCACGCCTTGCCGGAGCTTGTCCAGGCTGAGGGTGTAGGAGGTGGCGCTCCGTGGGATGTCCTTCACAAACATGTCCCACAGGCCTTCATCTGCAAGAGGGACAGAGACGACAGAGCAGAGGTATGAGGGGTTTTTCTCCCAGATGCCAGCTCCATATACACGCCAGCGAGCTCACTTGCGGCTGCCTGGACACGGCATCAGGGCATCAGTGTCAGAGGCTGGAGTGGGTGACATGGGGAGCAGGAGGGGGACAAGGCATCTTCCTCACCGACAGACCCCTGAAGTTGCATGCTGGGCAGTGGCATTTCTGGAACATTCTCCTCAACCCTATAGCAACCCCATTGGCTTCCTGGCCCTTCCCCCTGGCTTCTGACTTGCTCTGGTCTTTGGGGCTCCTGACACACCCGTCACTAGCTCTTGTGATCCCACTTCCCTGGCCAGTGACAGCTCCTGCCCAGTCACCCTACTAGTCCGCGGCTGATCCTTGTGCATACCACAGGGTCCTGAGGTCTTTGGAGAGCCCGGTGGGCTCATCTAATCAGATAGGACAATTCAGCCGGTGGGTCGAAGTGAAAACCTCAAACTGCAGCATGTTTGATCAGGGGCAGCCAGCTAGGTGGGGCCGCCGATACCCTCCCCACACCGCTGGGAAGTGACTGCATGCTCAGAGCTGCGCTTCAGGTCATCTGCAGGTGTCGAGCTCTCCTTCCCAGGGATGTGCTGGGATCGTGGGATCCGCACACACTCCATGGCAACCCTTGCCCGGCCCTCTCCTCTCGCCCCGGGGATCCAACACCTGGCTTCTGACCGAATGCCCACCCCCAGCACCATACAAAGTGCTGCCCCTGAGTTCGGGCTTCCTCTGGAGTGGCTTCAGCATCAAACCTGCCCTTGAGATCAGTTTATTTTTTAAACATTTATGCTCAAGTATTACCAAAAACAAGTATAATTTTTAAAGTATACTGAATTTCTAACAGATACCTGCATACCCATGATTATAGCAGCATTACTCGCAATAGCCAAAAGGTAGAAACAACCCAGTTGTCTGTGGACGGATGAACTGATCAACAAAAGGTGCCATATCCACACAAGGGAGTACTGTTACTCAGCCTTAAGAAGGAAGGAAATTCTGACACCTACACACGGGTGGACCTTGACATCATGCTCAGTGAGACAGCCAGTCTTGGAAGGACAGGTCCTGTATGAACAGACTTACACGAGCAACCTAGATCGTGAAATTCACAGAGACAAAAAGTAGGACGGTGGTTGTCAGGGGCTGGAGGAGGAGATGGGAGCACGTGTTTGACGGGGACAGAGTTTCGGCTTTGGAGGTCGAAGGTGTCCGGAGGTGGATGGTGACAGTGGCACGGCAGTGTGAACGCGCTCAGTGCTACTGAATCACACATTCAAAATGGCAAGTTTTAGGTTATGCATATTTGGCCACAGTAAAATATATTTAAAATTTTTTTGATGCCTGACATATAGGAAAACATGGATGAAATCGGAATTAAAGCCAGAAAATCTTACGCAGAGATGAAAGAAGAAACAAATGCGTTTGGTTCTGAGGAATCTGCCCACAGACATGGAGAAATGTGGTCAGTGAAATGTCATTAAAAATCATCAACCACAACATCATGGTTAAAAGGACAGAGTCTGGAGCTAGACAGCCTCACTGTAAAGTCTGGTCCCACCAATAAGCTGTGTGACCTTAGGCAGAGTACCCAACTTCTCTGTGCACCCGTAGAGAATGGTGATAACAAAGGCATCTTCATCAAAGGCTTGTTTCAAGGATGAAATAAGCTAATACCTATAAAGTGCCTAGAAAAGCGCCTCACAGAGAGTAAGCACTGCATGTATGTCTGTAAAATAAAATGTAAACTCAATTCTAAGGAGGTTGTTCTTTTGAAGTAGCAATCCCACATGAATTATATTTTTTTTTACAGGCACAGGTGTGTGATCTGTTAAAAAGCAGGCGCTCTGGTAAGGATTCTTTGAATATGCACATACACAAACATATGAGGCACCGAGGGTGATCTGAAAAGCAACCTTATCACACACCTAGAAACACCAGGTGTGTGCAGACGGATTAGCCCAACGGTAAACAGGAAGAAAATTGCTATTGTATCAGTCTATATTTGCAGAGGATTTAGAGTGTGCACTGACTAAGTCCTTACAGTCACAGGTTAATGAGGAATAGGAGTGAATGAGATTTTAAAGGTACAAATCTCTGTACAGGCAAAAAGGTAGTGCAATGATTATTATTTCTAAATATTCACATTAATACTCATGTCTCACCAAGATTCTCATCACAGCTAATAATGTCAAAATGGCAAATCATTGCCTAGGCCTATAATTTTCCTCCTATGATACTCAGGTTTACACATGGAAAGACTTTGGTATGTGATTTATATTGTTGTAGGTGAGTTTTGCATAAGAACGGTCAGACAGGGCTACACAGCATTTATTCTGCACAGGCTGCTTCCTTGGCCTGGAGAACCCTGACACGCTCTCTGCCCCTCCTCCATTCTTGCCCTCTCTCATTCATTCACAAATACTACCCGCTCTTTGGTCAGGCCCGGATCCATCCATCAGGGAATCAGATGAGATTCCTGTTCTCAATGAGCTAGTTATGAGTCTGAAGTCAAGAGTTCAATAAATATCTGTTGGCTTCATCCATCCATCCATCCATCCATCCATCCATCCATCCATCCATCCATCCATCCATCCATCCACTCGCCCACACACCTACACACCCATCCACGTAACCACCCATCCATCTATCCGTCCATCCATTCATCCCTCTTTGTGTTCCATGGCTTTTCTCAAGGCCTAGTACAAAAAGACTTTCAGAAAATAACCACCATTTTATTTAAGGCTTACTCTGAGCAAACCACTGTTTTAATGGCTTTAAATGTTGAAGGAATTGTGTTTTCCTCTAAAAAGATAGGTCGTTTGTGCTGTAAAAGACACTAAAGACAAAAATACAGACTTTATAAACTGGGTATTGCTGAAAACCATCCAAATTAAGGGACTAAGAATATGAAGGATTTTTCAGACTGTTCTGAGAAGGTCTGAACACCTCTGGAGTGGGTTCTTTGAATGCCTTTTGCATTAATGTTTCTATAATGTTTTCCTGTTACTGATGAAAAAAATGATTTCCCTTTCCTCTACCCTCACCTAAAGGCCACATTTTATTTTAAGCGCTCTGTCATAGCTCCAGGAATTGTGTGCATTTTTCATAATAACATTTTAAAATATTGATACAGAATCTCAACACAGAACAATTTATTTAGCAATCCATTTACACTAAAAAATGTGTGTGTGGGGTGTCATACCAAGAGAATTTTCTTCTGAATTAACAGAAGAAAATGCTCTCATTTTTATTCTGCTTAATTTTGCCTTTCCCAATTAGCATATTTTATACTCATTATAATTCACTAGGCTACTTATCCATACTAATATTTACCCCATAATCATGAGTGGGTGAGAAAAAATTGGGCAGCTGTTAAGGCGTCCACTCTGTTTCTCAACTGTGGACTGTTTTTCTCATTTGTATTATGCTGTTAAATATCTCAATAAATCAATGATGGAGAAAAGTATCTCCACAAATCAGGGGGGAAAATAACATTACAGAACTATTAGCAATAATGAGATTTGTGCAACTGACTTTCCATGTACCAGGACAATCCTCCGTGCCTGGATTTCCATCTCAATCAACACTTGAAGGGCCAGCAAGCCTTGTACTCTTAAAGACAATTCTAGATACACAGTTCGGCCAGTTCCTAATCACCCAGGTGAGTCTCACTCCCTGGAACGCTCAGAAGATGCTACCCTGGCTTCTCTTCCCCACTGAGCATACTATGTCACTATCATGGGAAATCCAGTAATGGCTAGAAGAAGGCAGTTTTCACCTTTCCAAAGCCACATCCTTGAATGACTGATCCCCAGATAATCCATTTCCCAGATGATTGACCCCCCAGATGATTGATCCCTTAGATGACTGATCTCCCAGATGGTTAATACCCAGATGACCAATCCTCAGATAATCGATCCCCAGATAATCGATGCTCAGATGACTTATCCCCAGATGAACAATCCCTAGATGACTGATCCCCAGATAATCGACTCCCCAAAGAATTGGTTCCCCAGATGATTGAATCTCTAGACGACTGATTCCTCAAATGACTGATCCCCTAGATGATCAATCCCCAAATGATCGGTCCCCAGAGGCGATCTCCAGAAGGGACACCAAGCCTCCTTGCTGGGGCCAGGGATTTGAACTTCCTGAGAGTAAGGACTACCTCCTGGCTGGACCCACCCACCTCCTGACCTCTGGGGAAGTGGGAGGGGCCCATGCCACAGAGTGAGCTCAAGTCACACCTGCCTGCTGGGCCCGCCCTTCCCTTCCTGGACCCCAAAAGAACACCTTCCTGGACTCTTGTTACTGAAACATTATTGGAAAAAATACCACTAAGAAAGCAGGAAAACCCCTGAGAAAGAAACTTTGAAAGACATTCCTAAGTGAGCCACACTGTCAACATAAACCTAAAATCCTGTCAACCCCAGAAGGAAAGATGAGGGAGAATCCCCACGTCCAGTTCAGCTCTCTGTCAGGAAAATAAACTCTTTGTCTTTGCTTTCTTTAGTGAATTATTTGTCTGCTTAAACAAGGAAAGTGGCTAACACTGAAGATCCCTGAGAAAAGAAACCTTTTCCAATACAAGTTTTCTGTTCCAGCCCATCCTCATGTCTAGCAGACAGAATGAGTCAGCTGTTACCCTTCAGTGCCGGTGTCTCCCCCGCCCAAACTGTAGGAAGCACATCTGTTCCCAGACAATGTCCTAATAAACTCGGAAACAGGAGCACCTCTTTTCTGAATCGAGATGGAGCCCATGGCAGCACGTCTGAGGGTCGGGGCTCAATTTATCCCTCCAACGCCCAGAACAGAGCTGTGTGCTGCAGGTATGAGGCCCACGTCATGCCAAGACAAAAGTTTGATTTCATGGACAATTAAACATGGTCGCCATGCTGAATGAAACTGTCACTCACTGCCTGAGATTTCTCCCTGAGACTTCTCTGCCTCACATAA